CCTTGTTGCCATTACCAGACCTTTATTCCTTTTTATTATTGGAGAATGGCATCTAGTGTGAGAGCTCCCTTCCAGTAAGTTTGCAGGCACACATTGCAACATTGCTGATTACAGGTGTGATGTCATACAACTGGTCCCTGCAGCTTACTCCTCCTCCTTTACCGAAGCCTTAGATCCTCTGTGATTTCCCAATCTGACATTCCCCCAAGGCCTGGAGCCACCATTCTAAGTTCCTGTGAGGTCTGTCTCTGTTTACAGGCCACATGGAACTGAATTTGTACACTGTTCAACATTCTACTCTGGCTCATTTTGCACAGCCACGTCCTTAAGTTTTGTACAAGTTGTCACAAAAGACAGGGATTCCTTCCTTATGCATACATACAATACATATATACATGGAGTGTAGACATTTTTTCAAGATCTAAGCATGTACTGTGTATTTCTTAAGATTATTACTAGAAAGTAGATGGGGTTTTCTGGACACATTCTGACTGCACGGCTTGTGAGTTCCCCTCAGAGATATAATTTCCTTGACATTCTAAGTTACCCAAGTTCAAGGAGTGCACAAGATCAGATAAGAAGATGAAGCCTGGAAAGCTCCAGGAAAGAAGCAAAGACAGGCAGTGTACACGGGATGCCTCCCCTCCATGTTGTGCAAGTTGAAGCTTATGCAGATCTGTGTATCGGGCTCTGGGTAGAATCAGATATAAAGGCTTCAAAAATGAATCTGACACCACAGCCATCTAGCTGCTGGGGAATTAAGTAATGCAGTAATAAATGCTCTCCTTCAAGGGTTTTAGACTCACAAAAGTATTATAGATTATCACAAATACATTTATGCTGACTTTTTTCCCTGTGCAACACACAATGATAGTTTAATTCTGTGTAACTGAATATGTAGAGTCACTCATTTGTTGCAAAACTGGAGCCAATCAATAAGTTATTCTCTCTGGAAAGGGATAAAGTCCTTTGGTTCTGTAATAGCCTATTTATAGAAATGCTAAATATTTTAAACACTGTCTCAAAATTAATAACACAAAAATGATATAAGCCCTTTGTTAGGACCTTCAATGGTGCACCAGTTGGTGTCAGTACACAGGCCCCTTTTTTAATTAGCAATCAGGGCATCAAGAAATGTGTCAGACCAGAGCCATCATCATTCAGTCATAGATGAGGGCAGGGCCTTGTGGGGCTTGACTCCTCCCTAGAGGGCTGTTGGCAGTTGAGGGCTGTTGGGCGGGGAGGTCATTGTGTAGGCACTGGTGAGGTACTCCTGCTACACTCCCTTGCCCATGTGGGCAGCTGTGCATGGGTCACAAACTAAAATTAAAACAGAGCAAAAAAAACATAGGGTTGGGAAGGAGTTAACAGGAGGAGAATGGGATAACAAAAATGAGAAACAGAAAAAAAAAAAAGAAGCCTGCATAATCCCTGTCTTTCAACTGAATACATTATTGTGCCTTTAGAATATGATTTAATCTCACCTATTTTATTTCATTTGAAAATGTGTGTTAACAGATACTTAAACTGAACATGGGAATGGAGTATAATTAAGGTGACTAATAACTTACTAGTAAATTCTGAGGCTAAGAGGATTTTAAGTTTCTTCCTCGCATTGTTTTTGATTTTCCAGATACTTACTAGGCCTTACTTGTAATTTTTGCAATGGGAAACAACCCTACTCTATATATTTCCAATTAGGGTAAAATAAAATCCTCTTATACTTTTTTGTTTTGTTTTGTATTCAAGACAGGATGTCCAGAGTTTCTCTTTGTAGCCTGGGCCTTCCTTGAGCACACTTTGTAGACCAGGCTGACCTCAGAGTCACAGAGATCCACCTACCTCTGCCTCTGCCTCCTGAGTGATGGAATTAAAGGCATGCATCGCCACTGCCTGACTCTTTAATACAATTTTAACTCAAGTATGACCCAAGACACCTTTTGTGAAAAATTGCCGCAGGACAGATTTTATATGTAGAAGATGTCCATCACCATGAGACGTCATCTGTCTGCAGGACACTGAGTTAGCTTCATTCACTCCATTAGGAAGATGTGAATGCCTGACTTTGTGGGGTAAAGTCAAAAATCTGTGGGCAAAGGGATCCAAGAATTGGTGAATACTCTGGGTACAGGAAGAGGAGTAAGAGGAAAAATATGTTTATATTTTTTTCTTGTAGTCAGAGAAGAAGATGTCAACCCAGGCAGGAATATGGGAATACTCACAAAAACCTTCTAAACATAATTCTGACCACAGAGACAAGCAGAGAGAGCATTTTGGTATCTGTCACTGCAGGTCCCACTCCCCTGGACTGGGATGACTCTGGTAATACATAGGTAATAGATACATTTGCAGTGTGTTCTGCTGTTAGACAAGCTCTTCTTGGATATATCTTTATATTTCACTTTCTATGAGGTGGAAAATTCCAGAATCATTTTCCTTGAGGGAAATGGCAAATCCAATAATGATTAACTTCTGCCTCTCTAGAGAACAGAGGCTGGAGGCTGAGCTGCCTCTTCCCTGAGGCTTGCCTTGACCAAACCCAGATTGATCGATCCTTCAGTTGTTTATCCTGGGTCTCTCCAGGCCCTTCTTTCTCCAGAAGCTCCAGGGAGTGGTACACTGCCATGGACTGGTTAGAACTACAGCCTTAAGCCTTTTTCTTCAGCTGGGCTAGATAGCTCAGGAATGCATTCAGCCTTTCCCAGGAATCCTGGGCTCAAAGAAAGCTGTTATGACTCTTAGTGGTTAAGGCTCTATTTCATTTGATTCAAATATAATTGGACATAACACACACATGAAAAAAAATCAGGAATACAACTGTTTCCAGTCACCACAAACCTGACACATATATGTAAAAGATGGGGTATTTGGGGAAACATGAAAGATCACTTATATGTAAAAACTTATACACATAAGAATTAAAATTCTTCAAAAATGGCTTTGAACTTTGAACTATTCAATAGATTATATTTCAATGTGGGTGCGAAAATATATATGTTACTGTCAATGTCACAACAATAGCTTGATTCTCTTAAAATATTTTGTTTGTAAAAGTATTTTAATTTCTAAAAGATAAAATTAAAATTTCCTGTATTTATTCACTTACAAAGACTTCAAAATAGGCAGATAAATTCCCCAGTCCTTTTCCTGTAATTTTTAACGTAATGTCTCTATAATTTAAAGTGATTGTTACAGAATTTATGAGTTTTTATACACATGTAGAAATACATACACACACATATATGCATATAAATTTACTTCATTTTAAACGATTTTTGCTTAAATAGTATGGTACCACATTTATTTCTTGTAATATGCTTTTGTCACCTAACAATATTTCTAGGATTCACTCAGTACATGCAAGTTGACAATATTAGTTAATAAAACTAATAAGGGCTGGGGTAAAGACATTAATGAAGAATTCTTCCTTACACATTCTCAGTCCTGGCCTCCTTTGGTTAGAAATACTTACCTTCTCTGCTAAGTGCTAAAATTTCTAAATGAAGCAATCATGTCACAGCTTTTAAGTTGCTTTACAATATCACATAAAAATAGTCTTAAAAGGGCCTCAGAGTCAGCACAGGACACACCCACACACTAGAATATCAGAAGAATAATTTAATCCACAAGAATAAGCAGCTGCCTGTGGACCAGGTAAAGGCAGATCAGTTATCCTTCTGGGGTAAATAAATCTCCTTCATTCTGAGAATTTGATGTCTGCGTGAGTCCTGTCCTGACTCCAAGGCCTCTTCAGTCTTGAATACCTTAAAACAAAACTTTGCCAAAAGAGGTATTTTTATTTTAATTTGTAAAATAAAAATGGAAATTTGTGCAGAGTTTAAAATACAAAATCCACAAAAAAACAAGCAAACTAAAGAACAGCAACAAAACAAAAACAAACAATGCTGAGAGAATAGTTTGGAATGAAAATGGTCAAAGAACCAAAAGAAAAAAAGAGCTGGCAAGGAAAAGTTCAAAGCTTCCCCCAAGGTTATCTCTAGACTTCTACAATAAATGTCTGTCTCCATCCCAACCACAGCCAGTCTAGAAAGCTTGATAATGTCTCCAGAAGTCAGTAGTTCACATGAGTCTCTAAGAAAGTAAACTTCAACTAGGTGCCTCCAAGTTACCAAAGGAGGCTCATGCCATATCACAGCACAAGAAATAACACAGCACTTCACAGGCTTTAAAAGAAATCAATAGAGACTTTGCTTACTTATGCTGACTCCAGGAAGTCAGTATACTCAGTGTCTATGTCTGGAAGGTGGTATTATACCCCTCAGTTGACTCCAGAGGGGTCAGATACCCATAAACCATGAACACCCAAGCCTGGAGATCTCTTAGCAGCTGGGATTTAACCTGTTGGCCCAGAGTAACAAATCAGACAGTCCTGAGCTAGTGTTTGTTTCCCACCATCAGGTCAACTCAGCATGCAATCTTTATCTTGACTTAAAGTAACATAATTTTTCCGACATAGGTTTGGATTGTGAAACTCAGCTACTACACCCTGTTCTTTGCCAATGTATGTTTAAATTCTTTCCAGTTTTTCATCATAAAGATTTTGTCATGATAGCAATGTCTATATACATACACATGACTATTTCTCTGGAAGGGATAGTCAGAAATAAAAAGTCAGCATCTTCGTTAATTCAAGGAATAGTCCCACTCCGCAATTCATCATATTGCTAGAACAAGCTGCTTGGAAACTGGGACTTTTGTCTGCTCTGTGTGTTGAATACACAGTAAGTCTGCTTTGAACAAATAAATGACTTACATTTATATGTGTGAGTCTGTGCTCTCTTTTCAGTATATTTATCTTACATATAATCTCATAAACTGTATGTTCTGAAAAAAATGTGCTGAGAGTGTTAATCCACATGAATCCCTGCTCCAGAAGATATCTGTATCCTGCAAATTTTACATTATCATTTAAGGCCTGTGCTAATTACTTTTCTTGTCAATGTGAGAAAATACCTTATAAAAGCAAACGTTTGACTCACAGTCTGAGAGTGCAGTCCATCACGGCAGCAGTGATGTTGATTCTGAGACAGGATGCAGGGACGAAACCTGATGATCAGCTTCCATTCTCCTTTTTATTCAAACTCATGGAATGGTACCACCTATGCTCAGGGTGTAGTCAGTCTCCTGTTTCAACTGGCCCAGTACAGGAATTCCCTCACAGGCAAAACTAGAGGATTGCTTTCTAAGTGATTCTAGATCTTGTCAAGTTGACAATATTAACCATTAAATCCTCTTCTAAGCACAGCTATGTGTTAGTAAAAGACCTTTCTCCCCAGCATCACCATCAGTGAATTTTCAAGCAGGTACCAGCTAACAACTTAAACAGAGGTGATAGAAACAAATACAATCTGCTGCAGTACAGAGTAAGGAAAAATAAGGTCAGAAGGGAAGAAAGGATGGCAAAGACAAGAATTCCCTGTCTTTACTTTGCCTGGGTCAGCTTGGCTGGGATGACAGGTGACAGCGTTCCTACTCTGAGAACTTGAGGCACTTCATAGTTATACTTCCCTCATGAATAGCATTCATCTTGAGCATCGCAGGGTTTCTTTCGCACCTGTCAATTCAGCTGACAAAAGCCTGGCAGAGAAGTGTGACAGCTGTTTCTACTGTACATCTGAAGACTGATACAGTCTTCTGTCAGGACCAAATATTGCCAAGATGTCACCGAAATGTTCATCCTGTCATTTCCTTTCCTTTTATTTTTACCCAGGGCAGCTCAAAGGAGTCTAACATACATGAAACTTCATTTTCTAAATTCCCAAATGACTTATCAATAACAAGCAAAAGTCATGTCAGGGAATTTTTCCTACAGGATATTAAAAATCTAGAGCATTTGATCTGTGAGTTTAATATTTAAACTTTAAACTAAGAATGGTCATTAAACATATATACCTTGAAGAAAAGACAGTAGGAAATGAAAATGCAGAAAATCAGGGTGCCCCAAGGCTGTTTTTGAATTGTATAATTATATAATGTATTATGTTCCGTTTATCTAACCCAATACATAGAAAAGATCTCATAGAAATATTTTTGGAGGAGAAAAGAACATGCTTAGTGGAATAAATACAATAAACTCTGTTTGCAAGCAAACCTTTTCATCCTTATTTCATTTTATTAATAGGCTGTTATACAGCAGATAAGTATCTGATAGTTTCTCTGACAAACTAATAACTAAACACTTCTTCCTGGCTTGGACTGTGTGTGATCCCACTGAGGAATTCTTTGTTTGGCACTGAGTACATAGCTCATTCTGAAAGTGCTTGATTCACAAGCATGAGGTCCTGAGTTTATTCCCAGGGCCTTCATTAACAAATCCAAGTATTTGGTGGCATGTGCTTATAAACACCATGCTACATAGGCAGAGACAGGCGGATCCCTTGGACTTCTGACCAGTGAACCCAGTCTACTTACTGAACTCAGGGCCAGTGAAAGACTGCCTCAAAAAATACATATATGTAGTATCATATATATATATATATATCATATATATTGCTTATATATCATATATACCTCATCTATATAACTGATATACATCTTATATATCATTCACACATATACAGACACTCACACACACACATATATCACTTGACAAAAGTGTCCACTGGCCTCTACATACATGTTTGCACGCATGAGCCTTTATGCACTCTTATGAGCACGTACAAACACACACACAATCATCTATCAGATAAAAGAGATCTGGGTGATGCTTTGTGTTCATGTCAGTGTGTACTGAAAGCTCACTAACTGTACACTTCATAATTTACATGATTACCACCTTAATTCTCATAATACTTGTATGTCTTGGTCACCAACATTGCCTTATTTTAGAAAAGGAAATTCAGTTCCATTGTGCTAAGGTAACATAGCCATGGCTGTCATCCTTTAATGCATAGGATTAAAGTGCAGACAGTCTGGCTTCAAGGCCTAAACTTAACTATAGTGCAATTAATCCTCATGTTTAGATTTCTTCTTATAGGTACCCATAGGTGTTAGGTTCTCAGCCAGTCTTAAACTATTAACATCACTGTTACTACCTGTGTGATTCCTTCTCAAGAAACTAGAAGACTCTCTCTCTCTCTCTCTCTCTCTCTCTCTCTCTCTCTCTCTCTCTCTCTCTCTCTCTCTCTCTCTCTCTGTGTGTGTGTGTGTGTGTTGCTGAATATGCAGCATACGAATAAACAATATTTGAAAGAATAATTGTCCTTCAAATGCTTACGATTAAAGGAACTCGAGATTCAGACTACCTGTGCTTAAATCTCAGTGCTTGAACTTACTGTTGTGACTCTGGGCAAATATTTTGGCACTCATTTTAGAAGAGGTAATAAAAGCTCCTTCTTTGCATTATTGCTGTCATGAGTAAGCATTAAAAAACGGCAAGACCAAAATAGTGCTTGCCAATCAGAACGCAACAAAGAGAGGAATTCACAGTCCACTTTCATCATTGTCAGGTCCCAAAGAGCCTTGGGTTAAATGTCTAACTGCGGTGCCTATTGGCAAACTAAAGTGCTCACGGGCCTCTAAATTCAGTAGGTGTTTGCGGCTCCCTTCTGCTCTGCTCACCATGCCTACCCCCTGCACTAAAGCTCCACAGCCCAGGGGCTTGCTTCCCTCCCGCCAGCTTCCGAGTCCTCTAAAACTCTGTCATCTCAGCCAGGCCATGTTCACTCTTGGTTCTCTTTGCCCTCTTGGCTCTCTCTTGGTTCTTCTGGTTACGGTCTTGGTCCTCAGCTCCTGGCTGTTGGCCCCTCCTCTTGGCCCTCTCCCCTCTCTCTTCTCTACTCTTGCTCTGCCTCCACTCAGCTCGTGGTCCACTTCAGTCTGGACACTTCAAGATGCCTCTGGGTGTACTTGGAGAAGTCATGTCCACATTCATGCAATCATGTTCTGACACAAAGAATGGACTTAAAGAATGGACTTATCATCAGTATCAAAGGCTTATTGAGAGTCAATGATTGAAAGATAAAGAAAACATCTGACACAGTAGAACACAGTTCTTCACACCTTAGCTATAAGTATAACTTACCTACGGGACAAACAAACTCTGCTGTACTTTGTGGTTTCAGACTATGATTAATGCATCAGGGAGGGGGAAAAATCTGCCTGTGAATTTCAAAACATTAACACAAAGTGACTGACCAGAGGAATAATTTGTGACCTTTGTGAAAACACACACTTCCTGGTTTTACTATAGAGATTTTAATTCCTCAGAGCTAAGCTGTCAGTGAGGAGCCAACATTTGGGAGTTTTTATTTTTTAAATCCTGGTTTAAGAGTTATCTACTGCAGCTAACAAGTTATGCTGTAATGTTTCAAGGAATGCTAGCAAAGTTAGGCTCCAGATGGCAGCTTACCCCAACAACTCTGTCTGAGGTGCCACTCAGAGTTACCTTGCCCTCCTTAGGAACTTTCTTTTTGTCCCTCCCTCCACTGAGGGTTACGACATAATGAAGTTTTTGAAGGATACTTACTAGATATATATTAATACTCTAATACTTTATTCTGTCAGTAATTGAAACTGGGATTAAATTTACTGGATCAGAAATCATACTTTTTAATAAACAATTTAAGCAATTAAAGCAGGTTCTTCATAGGTACTAAATCAGTGGTTTTTAACATGGGGGTCAAACAACCCTTTCACAGGGGTCACCTAAGAAGAGTACCTGTTCATGTTCCAACTCATAACAGTAGCAGCATTACAGTTTTGAAGCAGTCAAGAAAATAACTTTATGGTTGGGGGTCACCACAACATGAAAAACTGTGTTATAGGGTCACAGCATTAGAAGTTGAGAGCCAATGTGCTGAGTAACAAAGACACTGAGGACACTGCATCAGACAAAACCTTACTTCTCTACATGTTTGCTCTACTTTTCATAACGACCTTGTGAAATCAGCATCACTTCTTCATTACACCGATGGGGAAACTGACAGGTGGGCAGTTGAATAACCTGTTGGAGATTCCACGCACAGTCAAAGGATGAGTTCACATTCAAAGCCAGACTTCCCACCAGTCTTTTGTTCAGAACCTTTCCTCCTAGCTAACAATGGGCAGCTATTTCTTCTACCAGGAAAGATTAGTCAATCAAGGGTTTTCTCATTGTGTTCTCAATTTATCCTAACACTCCCAGACACCCTACCTTTTTAGTCTCTGTTAGAAGCACTCTACAACCCCCACAATGTGTAGGCAGGGAAATTGGCAACACAGGCCAGAGTTAGAGTTAGTCAAACATCAATCCACTTGTAAAAGTCCTTGTTAAAAAATGTCTTTCATGCTCTGCCAAACAGTGGAAGAGAGGCTGACATGCAGGTTGTATGAACTTTCATCCCCAAACCTCAGAGTATTCTGCTCTGAAACTTCAAGTGTCTCTACAGATTTCCTCATCTCCTTAGTCATTTTCAACACACTTGGAATTGTCTTTCCCCACAGGACGCAGAATTTCTGGGTGATCCTTTGGTATTCCACAGTGGAATGCGTCCATTATGTTCAGTTAAGTAAGCATTTTGAAGCCCACAGGACAGATGGGAATCATCTGTACCTCTATTACTCCTTAGGACAGCCAGTGCTACCCGCATCTGCTCCAGCCTTTCTGTCTTTCTTCATTTGAAGCTTTTCCTGTAGGTCTCTTGGCCTAGAAAAATTGGGAACATCTCACAGTGGGTGACAATAATTTCTCATCCTGCAGAGAAACTCTAGATAGAGATGAGGGGACTTCATGGCTGTGATCATTATTTTCCAGCTTGGTTCCATTTCAGCAATGAGTTTAATCCCCTAATCACTGCGTATTTGCCAAGGGCTTTGTCAGTCCTGAGGCTGATAAACCACCTTTGGCCCCAGGCAGACATTCAAGAGAGGTTCATAACAGCAGCCAGAGAATTAGTGGAATGCTGGAGTTCAGAGATAACTATCCAGCTTTGGGGTGTTGAGTGAGGACTTAGGGTAAGAGTGAGGGAAATATTCCTGGGATGACTGGACATAAAGAACGATACTTGGGTAAAAGCAGGCAGTTTGAGGGTCAGGAGTATTCCAGATAATAAAGGTATC